TCAGCAGTGGTTTTATGTACCGAAAGTACTGACCAAATGTAGATGAAGTGTGTCCGAGTACATTTCACGTGCCACCGTTCCACCTGCATGAGCAGCACGTGTTCACTTTACAGCGATGGGGTAACTGTACTCTGTATAGGCCCAGAATAACGGAAAACGGTAAGTCGCCAGTACGCAGCATCTAGATTGATGTACAGAAACAATGGAAAACATGAGCACTTTGTGCTCCCTGCCACTCATCATCATCATCATGAAAAGCGAAAGGTATTCGTGAGACGTTATAGTGAGATCATCTCAACTTATTATCGACGATATTAATTTAATTAGCCTTCCACGCACCCGCGCTGCACAAATGGCATGACATGGCCCGACACTGTGAGAGTTGCATATCAAACCCTGGAAGCTTACACTGCATGGCTCCGATCAAACTTGTACCCAATAACAGCCGCACGCCGCTATGCGCCGTGCTCTTCGTGTAGCTTCCAACGGTAGATACTGTACACAGCAGTACAACTAATAATACATCACGTCGTCCATGTCGGACGCTCATCACTTCTTCCTCCACGCCAAAGGGAAGCGCTTTCCCAAAGGACACAGCGCCGTGAGACATGGGTGGCGCTTCCACATCTCCTCTTTGCATCCACCCGTTTTCCAACGTTCTGTTTTGTAGCGTTCACACTCCGCGCTAAGCATCCTCAATCACGCCGTATGCACAATACCACCTAATTCATCTGATGCCGTTTGTAACATAAAGCACGCCGTCATGAACAAAACGTCTTGTCCACTACTTGCGAACAACCTATCGATCTGCAGTTGTAACACACTCTCGCCATGGCAAACGGGTATAGTATGCTTTCGAGCTCATCGGAGTTCATTCATTTGCCTTCTTCTCATTCCACATCTTCATTGCTGCGCCTGTTGCATCTTTGTATGGCGTCGGTCATGGTTCTGGTTGCTTTATTCGGACCTGCTGCTTTGCAAAAAGGCTTGATGCTTTCTCATCCATGGTTTTCTGAAAACAAATCTACTTTCAAACTTGTTACACTGGCTTTCAACCGAACAAAAGCATCCGACTGGCACATGATAGCTCACAATTGTGCCTTTCTATCTCGCACAAATCATACTTACTTCATTCATATTGACAACACATCCCACTCATTCTGTGAGCGATGCAACTGCGTTCGCTTTGTTCCAACAAATTGCACCTGTCCGCATCCGGATGCTTACAACTGCGCCTTGTGTGAAAAGTTACATTTTGTGATCCACGCGTTGAAACAATATAACAAAATTGTATTCCTTGACTCAGATGTGATCTTGCTTCGGCACGATTTTATGGAACGTCTTCAATCAAGGGCCAAGCATTTTTGATTTTCTCGCTGCGTATGGATTCGACAATCCATGCAATAAACGATATGAAACCCCGTTCAACTCAGGCGTTATGTTTATGAGAGCCATTTCGAACGTCAATTATACAGCCATGGTACAACTTATGTGGGACTTGAACAACAACAATGATCAGAACGTCATTTCAAGATTTGTTCAAGCACACTACGCCAATTGGGATACTTTGTCCTTGAGATGGCATTGTCGTTATCTTCATAAAGAGGGATATGATATACCGCCTGAACAATGCTACACGTTCCATGGGCGCTCTTCGTCTTTGGAGTACTTTTTGAACAGGACCAACTCCACCTTGCTGACCACTTGGGACTGAGCGATCTAGTATTAAGCTGTTCTTCAACAAGGTATGAATCGAGTGAACGTGATGCCCGACATGGTACCGAAGTTTCAACCAAAGCTTGGATACACCTTCTTCCTCTTTATCGTAGCGTCTCTTCTGCTTCTGCGATAAATTGTCCCAGCTGGGCTCTCGTTTGAATATTTTTCAGGCCAATTCTTTCTAGATGTCTGTACTGCTGATGACAAGTAGATAAACACCACATAACCTCTCGAGTGGCAGACTCTCTCACCTTCACCAGAGTGCGACATATTATGTCGTTCTAAGAAATAATTCATGACTCACGTTTACACAGAAAGGCGAAAAGTAGACTCTCTCAGAGAGTGTGCCGGTAGCATTCCGTTAAAGAGCAGCACTATCGCCTGTGAGTCAGAAGGGCTGGATTATGATAAAAAAACATGGCTTCCACGAAACACATTCCTGGACAGGAAAGCGCTCGATAAGGAGAGAGCCAACTCATGTTGGATCACATCCTGATTGGAAGACGGGGACAAATCCATGGAAGCTAATTGAAACGAATTTCTGCCCCTTCCGTGGCATCCGCCTTGTTGTAGGACACCTCGTGAACTTCAACTCCGGCAGCGTCAATAAGCATCACAGTGCCACCAGTATTGGCAAGCCTCAAGTTACCACTTAGATTAATAGTCTTTCCTTCTTGAGTAACCGATCCTTCCAATGAACTTCGCGCTCCTGATTTAGTGCGAAGCAGCCAGCCTCTCAGATTAACCTCACCTCCAGTGGCGACAAGCGTTACAGTCTCGTTGCCTCGATCAATCCCGACTGGATTTGGCAACAATTTTGAGATACGCACCCGCCCGGCTCCGGATGTAACCCTTCTCTTTTTCTCTGAAGGGTTCTCGGCAGAATCCTTCGTATCAGTTTTTCTGCGCTTGCTTCCATTTGATTCTTGCCGTGTTTCAACTTGTTGAACAACCGTGGACACAGCGTACATTTCATCAGCCATCCAAAGTTCATCCATGACATCGAACGTTCTTTCCACAGTCATTCTGACGCCATTTCCAGCAGTGGTCAGTTCACCCCTCAGGTAGCAGTAGCCGCGGCGCGGAGAATATTCAGTTCCGATATATCGCGTACGAAACAACTCGAGAATTTGTTCTCCCACCTTCGAATCGGCATCTGGGACGTAGATCTGCACTGGGCGATCATCGGTCCCTATACTAGCAGTAGCGCTAACATTACCCTCCTCACTTGAGGAACGACGAACGTCCCGAATTTCGGTAAAGATTGTGACAGAGGTGCGTTTCTCAGCTTCTTCGCGAAGTTTTTGAAAATCTTTCCTGGTGTTGTACACAACAACGCCGCTTTTCCTGTTGGCACGATAACGATCAATGATACCTGCGCGCAAACTCCACCACGTACACAACTTAGCATAGTCGCGAATGACTCGACCATTCACTCTTTGCTGGTCCCAGACACCTATTGCAATCATTTGAGCATCTCGCTCAGCCAACATGAAACGTCGATGATGAGCCTCAAACTCGGCGTTTCCATACTTGTTATAATACGGACTATAGCCCAAGCGAATCATATGTTCTGAGTATTCGACACCGTCCAGGCGATGAATCCAAACTAGCAATCTTCCAAAGGCTCCACGATACTTGACGAGACATTCTTCCACAGATTCGTTGCCAGGAAACTCGATGATGATTTCATCTTGATCGCTAAAGAATTGCTTGGCGTAATCCTTCGCAGCCTTTCCCCATGGAGTGGACGGCTTGCTTCCAAACTTGAACGATTCTTCGGTGTCCAAGCTGAGGATGCGGAGTGATTCTGCCTTTTCAGAGTTTGGCGGATATGCACGGACTGTATCTCCATCCACAACGAGACTTTTGCGGACTCGCACGTAGGTACCTTGAACTTTGGGTGGGGCTCCGTTGTCGTTCTGCGGCATGATTCAGAAAGTGGGTGTCCGTAAGGGCGCGGTTTGATATGTGGTAGAATGTGTTACACTGCGGCGGAGATGAACGGAACGGGGCGACGTTTGGAAGCCAAGAAAGCGCTTGTTAGAAGCAAACGAAGGCGAACGAGAGAGTGAGAATGGTATTGGAGCAGCAGCGAAGCAAAGTGAGGGTGTTGCGCGGCGCGATGCGCATGTTTGCAGAAGTACAGACATGGCACAAATTCACTCGGTGTATCTCCGCGGCTTGGAAGCAGTGGCGTGTATTAACCCTTACGAGACTGATGGGGAACGGCAGGTACCGTCCAAAGGTAATTACAGTAACATGTTACATATCGTTACGGGACATTTGTATTACAGTCTGTACAGTATAGCATTGCCCGAGCTCAGCCGTCGAAGGAATATCGTTCACGTGACCCTAGAACAACCAGTTCCTCTTGTGACAAGTTTGTTGTTCTAGGGTCAAGTGGAAGATTGTTGTGAGTAGGTTACCATTCTCTAGTGTAATGTATGCTTGCTTCTCACGTAAAACCGCTCACTATCAGCGCTTCACGATGAGGGGTAGAGATGAAGATATGTTTCTAGTGTGGGAAGCCCTTAAAACTCACCTACCTGTGCTTCTCTCTATCAACACCTGTACCTCCTACCTTCGAAGGTAGCGTTTCTACGTTCATTGTTGCCGTACATGCCAACGGTACCTTCGGAAGGTAACTTCGGTACTTGTCAACAATTCACTCAATTCACACTAAAACTGTGGGAAATAATGGGGCACACAGGCCTTTATTCAACCAGCTCCTCGCTAGTCCGAGTTGGGCGAGGGTCACAAATGTTGGAGCACACCGTCTCACGAAGAGACGTAATTAAGTAATTACCAGCACCAGTTGTGGATATACGTAATGACACAGAAGAGGGTTACTCACAGAGGACGGCACGGACAGCTAGAGAAAGAAGGAAAGAAAGAAAGAGAGAAAGAAAGAGTTGACGAAGATGATATAAAAACTGGGGAGCAAGGTGGGCGACGAGTTTGTAGTCCTGGTCCGGTATTTAAGGACAATCGTGGGTGGCCGTCGTTACAATGCACAGTGCACAATTCAGTGTACAAGTCCGAGCGCAAGTCCGTTTCAACAAAAACAAAGTTTCTCTACTTCTTCTTCTGCTTCTCCTTGGTCAACAATAAGCCTCTCCACTCCCTCCCTCCATTGTCTCGATCAACACTTGGTGGCCAGGCAATTTATTGAGAGAGAGAGAGAGAGAGAGAAGACTTTATTCTTGTGTCAATTGGCTGTTCACCTTAACCCGGCCCATTGTCAGCAAATTATGGCGGCATGGGCGGTAGGAGCTTTCTCGTGTTAACTGCTGAAGCTTTTTAAGTTTCTGGAGTGTGACCTCTAAACGCAACAAGAGGTTTTCATACTCGTGTGCGGGGGGTGTGCCCCGTCTATGGGCGCTAATTTCTGATATTTTCTTGTAGAAAACCCTGGCTGACGGGCCCAGGGCGCCATGGATATCCATGCCGAAGGGGACCGAAAGCGAACCCGTTGTTTGAACAAAGGGTGTTGTACTTCAAGCGTTTCCCCTCTTCAGCCTTCAGTGCCGCTCCGCCGCTTGCTTTGGATGCGGCGTTGGTGTATCGTGTATCGGGCATTATGCGGGCTGACCACTGTAACGTGCAGTACCACTGGCTGTTCTCCTATGCTGCCGTCGTTCACGTGAATATCAAGCCTGTGGCGCTCTTCAGGCGGCAGGTGCGCTTTAGATGGGAACGTCCATTCTCGCGACGTTGAGCATAGGAGTGGATAGCTGCGCAATACGGTGTACAATAGGTCTCTCATTTTGTTTTGCCTTCTAGTGGAGCCGTTTCCAACTGCGCATGTAGCGGCGTGGTATCCTAACTTGTCCAAGAAGGGGGGGCCCCGTCCTTGGATGCACGGCCTGCAGAGTGTGTACCCCGAGAAGATGTTCGCGCCCAGGCGTAGATCCACCTTCGTAGCCCATAGTTCGGGCCCTATCGTTTCGTACGTATGCACTTGTGGAAGTGCCACGGACGGTAAGGAGGCTTCAGGCGTTCCAGCCGGCTCATAGCGTGCTGCAGTGAGTTTTTGGGCTCTTGTAGTCAAGGCTGGCGGCTTGGTGTGTGTGGCTACTGCTACGTCGACGTGCATTTATTGAGCGCATGTTTAATACTTCAATTTCACTTGCGGTGTTGCGCTGGGTCCTCGAGACTTCGCGAAATCAGTGAATTTCTGCAATCGCGAAACAGACATGTACGTTCGAAGGTACTGTCCCTCGCTGCCCTTAACGATCGCTTTCCGCTGGAACCCGACTACACTTTGGACTCCCTTACCGGGCGTGACCACTTCCCGGACTCTGCTTCACCTCATGAACTGCAACACCGGCTCACAGAGCGAATTATGGATATTAAATTCAAACTCCTGCCGCCCGACCCCGGCGACCGTTCCGATGTGGCTGTTCGAACCCGAGTACGGTTTCAGTCTCTTTCCGCTGCTGGCTCGGCTCGGCCCTTTTCAGCCCTGCCACAGTCCGACCTTGGCGCGTGCGTCGCTCCCCTGATCTGGATCACAATGATCGAACTTCGCCTCGGTACCCCTATTTTCAATGGCACACAAGAATGCCCGAGTTGCACTGTCAGTGCCCTCCGTACCCAGTCCCGGACTCGTCCACTCCCGCCACTCGATACCTACGGCCATCACGCGACGATATGTTCCTGCGACGACGGTTCTACCAGGCGCCATAATGCCCTCCGCAACCTACTCTATAAGCTTTTATCCCTGCAATACTGCAGCATCAACGCTCGCTCGGAATGGCGCGTTCCACAGGATGCCCATAAGCCGGAAGGCGATCAACGACGCCTTGACATTTATGTTCACGATCCCAGTTTTGATGAGCATCCCCACGCGTTCGATGTAGTTGTCAGTCCTCACTCTCGCAATACTGGATTGCGCTCCCGCTCCTCCTCTCAAAAAATCTTGCAAGCCGCAAGCACAAAAGAACGTACATACCGCGACGTTTGTTCGTCGCATACATCCGTCCATCTACACCCTATGATCTGGGACGTGTACGGGCGTATCGGCTCGGGTACGGTCAGAGGGCTCCAACTCGTCTCTGATTTTCTATCCAGTCGTACTGGAAGTTGCCCCACCTCTACTCGTCTTCAAATTAGCACGATTCTTACTTCTCTCGTCCGTCAATACACCGCCCTATCCGTCAATCGCCGCCGGATTCACGCATCTCTTGCACCTCTCCATTAAGGGCCGTCCGCTTCTGCGCCCTGGCTCCCCTTCTAGTTACAATAAAGGTCGACCATTCAAGGTACTGTACTGTAATCACACATCCGCGCACACTCTGGCAAGCAAATCAGATGTACGCTCAACATTTGGCGACTGAAGGGACGAACTCGGCTAAGCTGAACCGACTTGGCACGTGGATAGCGTGCGAATCGCCGATGTGCCACTGGCTATTAGGTATCACGTTTTTCAGCGCAAGAACGCCAATGTGACGCTTGTGGACGGACTGATTTCAAAAGGGCCTCAGTCCATCTACAGACCGCTCTTCTGGATGAAAGCCACGCAGCGATGTTTCTCGGCTTTGAGGTGCCCGTTTGTGGAGCGCCTTCCACCACAACGGGAGCATTGCGTGCTCACGCGTAATCACACAATATGTCATCATCATTATTTCGTCATTGCCGCCGTGTTCCAGCTCCACGCCTTCTGATACGTTCACCCACGGTGGACGTTTCGTCCACCTTTCGGCTTCAACGTACTGCGTTCGCCGCCAATTTCGTGTCCAGCTCTGGTTCCCCATATTACCTTGCGTTTCTTTCGCCTCCTCTTCTGCACACAAATACATAACACTACTACATCTCTTTGTTTCTTCCCTCCATCCCTTCAATCTTCAGCACACACAGAAAACAAACATCACTGTGCTCAGCTTAGGATTCTCAACTTTACGTAACCAGGATCGTATCGTTCCATTCATTCTTATCTCTTCAGTCCCAAACAGCAGCCGTATATCTTTTTTGTCTTTATCGGCACCGTCACTTCGCTTCCAAACCATCGAACTCCTCCAGTGGAATCTCTTGTACTTCATCTGCTTTTCATTTATAAGTCTCGTTCGCATCGCTTGCAGAAAGGGAACAAATCCATTAGATTCAACATGAACATCTTTAGTAAGGTTTTAGTTGAGATGTGCCCAGCATGCTTAGGATTACGCAGGTGAAATGCACTAGGACTCTGGATGGAGCAAGAGAATGCTTCAGGACAGAACACTTGAATCACGGATAGTTTCGCACTGTAGAAAATCGCCCGATTTGGTAACAATATGTCTAGCGACCATTATGAAGTATCCAGGCCAGTTCCTGCCATTTCAACTGACCTGGATGTACTGTGTCGTCAGTTCGCAGGTTTATGACGACGGGATCAGTAGGATAGTATATATGTACTTCTATGCCCTACTCAAAGTAAAGGAGTCACCACACTACCTGAAGCTCCAGCACCTTTGTTTCTCCTAAGGTCGTTGTTCCCAGTCCTAACAAGTCGTGCTGCGCCAAGTGTTTTGTCGCATAAGCTGACAGCGAGATGCGCCAAAAACACTGTCACGGGAAGCATGCATGAAGCGGACCAAATGCCCAACCAGGATAGCGCTTTCACGCTACATGTACCAGTTCCACAGTCATCGAATAAGGGCGCTACCAGTTCATCAAACGAAGGGCTCGAGGTTTCTTCGCCGTCGGCGTCTTCGATGGACATGGGGCAAAAGGTCACGATGCAAGTGCTATTGCCTCCCAACAAATGAAGAGTGCGCTCGCGCGACTTGCTCGGATGGATGGTCAAAACCCTTTGGCGAACATTGTAAGAGCGGCTTTCCGAGAAACTACCGCAGCAGTGGACATTACGCCATGCGGCGCCCATAGCGGCACGACCGCGTCGGTGGTAGTGGTAAGGAACGCTGAAGCTGTAGTAGCCACTGTGGGTGATTCTGCCGTTTGTTGTGTCTCGCGCAAGAGGTGGCAATGGAGATTCACGGTGGCGTACTTTAGTCCGATGTATAGGCCATCCGACGCCGCGGAAGCGGAGCGAGTGGAATCTTGTGGCGGTAGGATCAGGGATGGATACGTCGTCGACCCAGAAGCGAAACAGGGTCTCGCGGTGAGCGGCACAACAGAAGACCGGGATATGCGCATGTACGGCTGCATCCCA